TCAGCTTTGCAGGGGGTTCTGTGGGGTTAATGCAAATCAGAGAGCACCCTGTCACGCCTCCAAGGGCAACGACATCTGGCTGGCTGGGTGTGAGGGCAAAGCACACAGAGTGAAATTAAAAGCTCTGGTTTGTCTTCTTGTTTCACTGTTATTTCAATTCTGTGCAGTTTCAATGATCTTTGCTGTTGGATATCGCCAAATGATTCCACAGGTGATGGTGGTGGAGTACCTTTGCTAGCCGGCTGTGGGACCCTTTCAGTTCTTTTTTTGCAGACATGAAGCAATCAAAAAAGAAGGAGAAAAGTGTAAAACAAAGCCAGTGGCTCAACACATTTATTTATAAGGCAATTCCAAACAACGGGAAAATTTCTGTAAGTTACACACGTGCATTTCGAACAACACTAAATTCAAGTCAGGCCTTTGTTGTTCTGTTTGTTGCCACCACCCGTGTGTTTCTTTTCTTTTAGCGCAGATGAAGCAATAAAATGTCCCTAACCAAACGAAGCAGGAGTGGCTCCAGCAGGGAGATGGAGCCAACAGACGTGCAACATATGGGGATGTGCAGCCGCCAGGTGAAGGATGCTCAGTCCTGTATCAGGCTGTGGCACAGCCCTTTCTTCTCAAGCAGACACAGCTTAAGCTGCAGCCTTGGGTTTCAGTACTTCAGTGCTCATAGGCAGAGGGAGGGTCAGATGTAATTCTTGATGATCCGTTGGGCTCACTGGTGAAATGATTGCTGCAGAACTCCTCAAATGAAAAGTAACAAAATCACGTGCGGCACTAATTTTCAGGGCAGTGCCTTGGCCACGATTTCAGCCCAGCATCCTGGCAGGCAACAGCAGCATGAGAACAAATGAGACAGCACTGTCTCCACACAGAGTGGATGAAGCACCAGCTTCACGTCAAAGCTCACAGCTCAGCAGATTGCTTCATCAATGGCAACCGGGCTGCTGGCAGCAGTCAGTCCTTTCCATGTATGGATATTGAAGGGAAAAGGCTATTGCCACACCTCCATCCTGGAGATGAAATGCAAAAGTAAATTAAAATTTCTCTGGTAAATGCTTAATGAGCAAGGCTGATAATCAAAGGTTGGGGTGTAGCATTTCTGCTGCGTTTAAACGACACGGAAGTTATCTGCAAGGCGCCATACAAATGCAAACAACAACTTCAAAGAGCAGTGGCAGCTTTTTGCTTTCTTCTCCCTGGCTAGCATCACTAGATGCCTGTGTACGCTTTGTAGTACTTTTTTCCATCTTGACAATTTAATTTTTTGTTTGCTTTTTTAAAGGAGAAGAAAAAAGAAACACAAAACTTTTGCTTTAATGATATGCACCATGATGAACTTGAAAGAGGCTTACAGAAACAGAGGCTGGCGTTTCTGTATGCACCAGTCAGTTGCTAGTGATTGATCTTGGGAGCCAGGCTTCATTTTCTAAGCAAAATAAGCTTGGAAATGAGCTTTGCAGCTGGCAAAATCTGATTAAAGTGAGCAGAGTTTCATCTGATGTGGCTGTTGCCACTCACTTCACCATAACGTCTCACTTTAAATACAGAGGACCTGCCGAAGACAGAACAAAAAGTATGCATCAGCTTATAATGCACCCTTCTAGAAGTTTAAGTGCTACTAATAGGCCATCAAGCTGCTCAGAAGCCAGTATGCAATGATAAATCAACGTGTATAAGTCAGTAAGTCAATGTGTAGAATAAACTATATAGGACAAATTCCTATGCAAAATGAACTCCTATACAGCTTGGCTCAGTGATCCTTGCCCCGTAATTTTTGACGGCTTGGGGCATCCAGGTGTACAGTGGCTTCTCCTGCAATGACAAAGCTTGAAGATCCTGGCATAGGCTAAAATTGCTGGTGCTCATCGTTCTGCTCTCCAGAAAGGACTAGCAATGCTCTGCTTCCCAAGAGTTCCTTTTCCTCTCATTTCTGAGGAAAGGGCAGCAGTGAGAGAGGGAAGATTGGGCAAAATTACATTTGAAGAGGTGCAAATATAAAAGCGACAAGCTCAGCGACAACAAGTTTCATTCCAACAGCTATTTGCAGAACAGCTTCTCTGCAGGATAACTAATGAAAAGGTCCCATGCACAGAAAACAGTCTATCATGTTAAAATAAAGAGTTCTGAAGCTTTGAAGTGTTGTGTATCTTCAGAAATAACCTGTACTCAGAAGGAGAGAGCGGAAACCCCACAGCTCCTAATTCTTGTCAAAGCTGGAGCCCAGGGCCACAGCAAGGAGCATGGCAGCCATCAGCACTTGTACAAATCTCCCCCAAAACCTTAATTTAAATTACTCTCGAACATTAAAGGCTGGCATTAGCCTACAAGTCTTTGCAACTGCATTAATTATTGTGGCAACACACAGAGCTCTGTAATTGGCTCCTGTCCTATAGCACAGAGCAGGGTTTATGGGTTAAGATGGTGGCAGGATGATGATGACAATTCCTATTGCAAAACCCAACCCTACCCAACAGCCACAAGTGTCAGCGCTGTGCCTGCTGCTCTACGTAAGCGTTATCCACCATGGTGGGTTTCATGGGACTTTAACATTGGCTTCCTTTCATTTTGTTTGTTCTGCTGAAATTCTGCCCCTTTCATCTGCCAGATGCCAGACAACTCTTGCAAGGGATCTAATCTATCATTCTTTAATTACTGTATTTACACAGGGATTTAGAAATAGCTTGGCAGAATGGGCTTGTTTCTCTCATCTGAGCATTCGCTCTAAAAGCACAGGTCTAAGCCCAAAGCTGCCAAGCTGCCATTAGAGCTGTGACATGTCCTTGTTCCGCAGCAAGTCTCCTTCCAGCAGCCTGCAAGGAGCAAGGGCTGTGCTGCCTGCCACGTGCACCAGGGAGGGGAGAAGGACGGGAAAATCAGCACATCATTGACTATTAAATTGTCAATCAAGTTTAATGCATCATAAAGAAGAAAAACTACATTGGCATATTTAAGACAAACACTTTTTTTCTATGCACACTATCCACTGGACAGTCCCTTTCTCAAAATAACTACTTTTAACAGCCCAAGACACTTCTTCAGAAATTCTTCACATACTCAACCATTCGCACTTTTCATTTTTTTAATTTGTCTGAGAAGGAAGAAAAAAAAAATCATTAAACCTGAAAACATTTACATTGCAAGCCACGTTAGAATGCATAATAGGCATACAATAACCAATGTATAACAATTGTGTTTTACTTAGTTCACTTTGTTCATCGATAAAAGAATATAAAAATCTTGTTCAACCGAGTGTTGTGTATTAAAATAGATTTGTATAGTACTGCACAGTTTCTCCCGGAGTTGTGAAAATGGTTGAAGGGACCATGTGCTGCCTAGTGATGGGCGATGGAAAAAGCCAGTCCCTCACGTGTGGGGTTTTTTTTGTTGTTTTTGTTTTTTTTTTTTGTTTTTTTTTTTTTGTTTTTGTTTTTTGTTTTGCTTTTCTAAAAATAAAAAAGATATTCGGCACCATGTGATATGCTGATGTGAGAGACTAGCCTTGTGCCGTGCTCTGGTGGTGGCTTCCTGCTTTCCTCAAGTACCTGTTGCACCAATTGATGAAGAACTCATAAGCAACAGAGGCGATGGCAACTGGTGGGGGTGATGCTGAGACAACCGGGTGCCCGTTTCACTCCCCGTCCAGCACGAGGCTGGGGAAGACGGGTGGACCCACGGGGTCAGGAAGACTACAGGTGAAACAGCAGGCGTGCGAGGCTTGCCAGGCCAATGCCACGCACTTCCCAGTGTGCTAAGAGCCAACAGAACCTTAAACAGGAGTCAAGTTTCCAAAAAAAGAGGAAAAAAACAACCAACAAACTCTCATAATTTGCCACAGCCCGTCCCTCCCCCAAAGCTCTTGATATTACTCAGTATGAGAAACAACCCCATGAGGCAGTTATTTTTTTTTTTTCCTGTACCATTTTGGCAGACAGTTCCGCAAGCAAAAAGGAAAATCATAATAATTAAAAAAAACAAACATATTTTTAACAATAAAAACGCAGTACAAAAATGTGAAGTTATCTTTTTGGCATTTTATCTGTACTGGTAAGAAACAAAAAAAGCAGAATATTTATTTGCTTTTTTCTTGAAATTAAAAAAAAAAATAATAATCAAATACTAACAAAATACCCCAAAACAATCTGTTTAAAAAACGAAACCCAATCTGCCAAAGATATCCACTATTATGGTTTATGCTAAATCTTGCACAAAAACTCCATGAGAAAAATACACCAATAGCAAAATAAGTAAAAAGGACCTGCAAAAAAGTAAGGAGTTTTACAGTCATACTTTTTTAAATACTTCGGAACGCATATACAGAAGCATCAGCATGAAAATACTTCAATATTTTACTAGAAATGCTAACTTCATACAGTTTCTTTATTTAAATATCTGCAATTCTCAACTTTAATAATACTGAAAAAAAGGATCTTTTGTTTCGAAGGCTCTGTGAGTGTCCGTTCTGGTCAAAGCGGCCCCAGCTTCAGCTCGCCCGAGTCAATGGGGCCAACCTCGTTCCTCTGATAAAGAATCCATGTCAGGTCCTAAGTAGCTCAGTTTCCTTTGACGTCACCGTTTTCCCTCCCACAAACAGCTCTCAGCCCAACTACATACCCACTAGCTCACTAACTCTTTGCATTTTAATCTCCCCCCTTAGAGCAGAACTGCAAAACCGCCTGCTCCCCGCTAAAAGGATATTCCACTTCCTTCCTATCGGCCATGCTCTTCCTGCTCATCCTGCCATAAGTACATTAAGGCCAACATAACAACAACAAAAAAAATCTCATAAGCACTGAAGGTCTCGGCAAACAACGCTGCAGTGCGCTGCGCTCCCTGGGAAGCTGCCGCCACAGCGACTACAAGTGGGACCGACGGGCCTGCAAGTTGCAATGCGTATAAACCCCGAGACCGTTCTTTCCTTCTGTGTCTGTCCCCTTTCTCTTCGTGCCCGGGTGCAAAGTCTGTCCCCCTTCCATGGCTGTCCTGTGGCGGCTCGGTCAGTTGTGGCCCTGCGAGTGCTGCAAGGTCTGGTGCATGGCGGCGGAGGCCGAGGAGGGCTTGATCCAGGGCATGGTGAGCAGGGACGAGGTGGTGGTGGTCGTCATGGTAACCTGAATCATCTGCTCGTTTTGTATCAGTCTAATGAGGGTTCGGAGACGTTCCAGCGATGACTGAGTCCCCTTCTGCTGGGCTAACAGGCTGCTTTTTAGCTCTAAGCATTTCTGTCAAACAAAGAGAGAGAAGGGAAGGCTGAGAATGCATTCAGATTGGTGTCAAACATCTCTCAAAACATCCTTTTGTGTCCTGAGTGCACGTCCTCCTCAAATGAAGTTATATTCTCCTGTGAGGATAGCAAAAGCAAAACGAACAGGGCGATCACACACACTGCAGCCATAGCAGCAGCTGTCTGAGCTAACAGCCTTCACCCATGTCCACGTGCATTCACAGAACATTTCTGACTGCGCTCTGTAACAAGCTTCCTGCATTCAGAGATGTCATTGGCACAGGATTCACAGAAACAGGGTCAAAAGGGTTAGAAGGGACAACTGGAGATCACCAAGTCCAACCCCTTGCTAAAGATGGTTCCCTGCAGCAGGTTACACAGGAAAGTGTCCAGGTGGATTTTGAATATCTTCAAAGAAGGAAACTCCACAACCTCTCTGGGCAGCCTGTTCTATTGCTCTGTCACCCTCAAAGTAAAGAAGCTTTCCTTCATGTTCATATGGAACTTCCTGTGTTCCAGTTTGTGCCCACTGTCATTGGGCACTACCAAAAAGAGCCTGGCCCCATGCACGTGGCCCCTGCCCAGATATTAGGGAGCCAGTACTGCGAAGATAAGTTGTTCTCTTCAAATATTATGTCAATATTTTGGCAGAAAACTTAATCTAAGACCCTAAAGTTGTACCACAACAGTCACAAGAAATTCTTTTACCTGCAGGGTGATCAAACTGCACCCCACCATCACTTGAAACATTTCACGCAAATCTACATAAAAATGAGAATGAGAGTAGGAGCTAAACAAAAGCATTTTGAATCTCCAAGAGGGAGTAAAGAAGAATCCGTAAGCCTCCCTTCTCTCTCCAGTTCTGTACTGCTGCAGCTGCTATCGCATCCGCTAAACATCATCTGGCCTGCAAGGGACTAAGTGATTGATCAAACACTTGAGTCTGTCTGCTAGGTGGAAGGGGATGGCCTCTAACATCTGACACCTCCTGGTTTCCTTCTCCCATTGGTCTTGACCTGGCTGCGACTCATCTGCATACTCCTTTCCTTTGACTACCTGGAGCGTGGGAGCCTACAGCTCAAGGAAAGTGAGAAACGCTCACCTGAAAGTCAAGTAGTTCAAAAAGACACTGTGAGAGCTGCTCAGTGATTGGGTTAGACAAATGAAATCTCAGGTGAAAGATACACCACATTCTGCATTGAACAAATAAAACCATTTCACCTGGGATATGTTTACAACTTCTCTCTTTAATGTAAATCTCTATCAAGGAAAATGTCAGGAATTAATTACTCTGCACTGGAACGCCTCTAATTGTTTTTCTCCTTTCAAGTGGACTCCAGTATATCTCCAGTATATATATTATATCTCCAGTAAATATAATCATCAGCTAATTTTACTATTTAAAAAAGATTCTTTCCCACTGAAAGAACTCAGTTCTGCTTATGTAGAAATTTTTTGACTTTGACAGTACCGACATAAACCCAATAACTGAATCCAGCCCAAATGCCTTTCTGTGTATGATCACCTCATGCCACTGTACTCTCCTAACCACTGAAGATCTTTCTTACCCCGGTCACTTCTCCATACATATGTTTGTTTCCATTAGTGCTGACGGTGGCTGTGCACACTTAGAGGGAATATCCCACACTGCAATGTCTTTTAATAAGTTATTGCTTTCCTTTCCATTCTATTTTGAATGTGATAAATATTTTAGAATGCTTCCTCTGGGTAACTGCAGTGGTAAAACAAGGAGTGACCAGTCACTCCTGCAGCTGCCACTTTGATTCTTCCAGGGGAAAGAAGCTTCAAATATTTATTGAGCCTGCCACACAAACTAACAGCTATCCCTTAAGAGTGGGCATGAGGTGAGCTAGTACCAAATAAGCTCCTCCATCTACGGAAGTCAGGGATCAGGCCTGTCATTACTGCCAGACACTGGCCCTCATAGCACAGTACATACGGGAGACATCGCCAGCCTACATTAAGTTTGAAACAAAATCACAGAGGAAATGGTTGGGAATCCATTTTCACTCATGGAGAGGTTGTTACACCATTCAACCTCAAAGGCAAATAAGGATTGCTACTTCTACCTGATCTCAGGAATTTTGGAGCAGCTACCACTGGAGCACACACTGATCTTTTCATCTGAAGGATGGAAGTATCTTACTGTCATCAGACAGATCAGAGCTGTGTACAGCATCACAAGGAAGACAGGGAAACCTATTTTGTGTTTTTATGCCTACAACAGGAATTCAGTCACTGGTGATTTCTTCTCCTCAGCTTGCCCAGGGAACTTGCTTTTGCACATAAAGGAGGCCCACGTTTTTCCTCAGACAGAAGAACAAACACACTTGAACTTTTGTAGCTTGGGAGCATAAATAATCTTCTAGCCACGAAATACCAGTTTTTCAACCATAAAGTCTTTATAAACATCTCAGCAGGAGACTAAGTCCCCAGTCAGGAGTCCTACCTTCACTGCATTGTTAAGAAGTCGATCTTTTTCTTCTAACTGTCTGTGCTCACTCTTCAGCTCGCTGCTTCTCTTCAATAACTTTCGTTTCTCTTCTTCTTTGACTGGAACAATAACATTAAGGATGTACAAGTTAAGAAAAGGTAATATAACAGAACTGTGTGCTTGACAATACCAAGCATGCATTTTGAAAGGCAAGTTTCTGATATCAGTAGCTTTTTGTCTGCAGATACAGCTGAATAAACCTAGAATTTCTGTTTGCATGGATGTGTCTGTATCAAAGGCCAGCACAAAGGATGATCCAAAAAACTACAATGTGCTAGAACTAATGATTGGACCACATATGGCCCTGAAGTCTCCAAGAAAAAGGTGAAAGACATTTAGGAACAGGTCAGCCACCCGTAATCACTCAGGTTCAGTGATTCTGGGTGAAAAGCACAGACCACAACAGTGTCAGATTCTGCAAAGCTCCTCTCAAATACACTGTAATGCCCTAAACAGCCCATTGTAAGAGTGCAGCAGGAAATGAGTCAATGCACATACATTATTTGATACAAATGACTTTGATACCAAATAATACCAATGTAATTAGAGACTGATATTACTACAGAATCTGAGATATTAATCTTGCAAAGTGTTGCAGACCCAGCTGTATGCCCCTCCCTAGCCTGATCGTGCCTTTCTGCCTCCCAGCTTGGTATATAATTGTGCCTCAAAATCCCATTTTCTTTTACCAGGAAGTCACCACTCTCATGACAGCCTGAGTGAAATTTCACTGAGTGAAATTCCTCAGAGATTGATCTCAGATTCCTCAGAGTAGACAGAGAAGGAGCAGAGACAGAGAAGGCAAGAGAAAGCCACCTGCTGTTCTCAGCCACAGCTCCTTATGGTGCTTTGAAAAATAGTCACATTGCAACACTGCTTTAATATCAGTGCCATGAAGGATTCAAATGGTATCGACCATCACGAGCAAAGAATCCCTTCTCAAAAGCCATATCAATCCCTACCTGTTTTGTGAGTGACATAGGAGTGAACAATAGCTAGAGTTCCAGACCATGGCACATTGTCATCCTTCTTTAACACCTGTAAGCCCAGGAAACAACAAAAAGTTAGGACTTCACAAAGGCACACATTAATATTTTCATTCCTTCAGCCTCACAGGTCTGCAGGACCAGCTCTAGAGTTCCTGTCTCAGAATTCACAAGATGAAAAATAATGAAGCAGAAACTTGTGTAGCAATCTCCATTGGGCCTTACTTCTTTCCATATCTCTAAACTAATCAACCAGGACTAAAGAGGATAACAAAGCCTCTGCTTCTTGTTGCCATAACCAGAAAACATCTCTCAGCTCCTGATCAGCAGATCTTCATGCTGTCGGGAGTATCGTGGGAGAGTTTGGGGGCTTACATGAAAATATGACTGCGTAGATCTAACACAGGACAGCTCTGTTCTCTACAGCTTCATGCTAGAATTTCCTCTCAATATTTTCAACGGGTAACAAACAGTAATCCCAGGGCAAAACAGAAAGAAATCTAAGGCACAAAATCTAAGCCTTCACTCTTTAGTGACACTGTACTGTTTTAGTAATTATTTTACTCTTCTTACAATCAGCATTATTCACAGCCATTAGATAATTTAGCACTCCTGATCATAGCTATGATCAATAAATATCATATAACAAACATGATTTAAAGAACATGATGTGATCTCCTTATAGCTTTCAGATCTACTGGTGAAGCCTATGCTTCTGGCAATGTCTCCCTCACCCATAATGTTTACATTTTTTGTTTTGCAACATACATGTTGCTGGCCTTCTGGTAACAAAGAGAAACAAAGAAAATGAAGAGACATTTCTAATCTTTTCCCAGGACAAATCTCAGCAGATGTAATTATGGTGAGTCTAGGCATTCACTGTAGGTTTTAAGTCTGGTACAATAAAAATACCAGAAATAAATGCTGCATACTGTACTAAAACTCTCAGTATTACTCTATCAAACGTGGTCCCCAAAACTGTGATGTAGGTTAATTCAGCTTAGCAGTACACAAATTTGATGTTTCTCCTACTTTCTCTTCTTGGTGCACTATGCCTCATGCAGCTTACCTTCTGTTGGCACTTTGGACAGACCCAGACCCCCTTGGGGGCAGTTTTGAGGGGTGGGTCCAAGCAGTTGAGGTGATACGCCCTGGGACACGTGCCACAGGGCTGCAAGTTAACGCCACGCTTGCAAGCAGTGCAGTATTCATCATGGTGGATCTCATTCTGCAAGAGAAAAGCAAGGATGGCTTGGATCAAGTCAACCCACCAGGGCCTTCTCCCTGGGCAGCAACCACAGACACTACTACAGCAGCCAGTCTCATTCAAAGACATATCTATTTGTCAGAAACACCCTGGCCACTGTAGAAGACAAGAGAAATAACGGTGTACGAAAGCAAATAAAAAACAAATGAGCCAGCAGCAAGTTCCATACATTATAACAGAAAAAATAAGAATCAAATTATCAAACAGAGCAGAGAATGAACTAATATAGCCAGATTGTAGTGCAGGAATTATTTCACTTCTTCTTGATAATGTGTATCTGACTCATGTATTACCACGTGTAGCTCTATTTTGAAGCATGGGTCAAAGTGTGATTCACTTGTCCTTCAAGTCCAAAACAAAAGGAAGCAAGAAAGCAGAAGTTTCTGGGGGAAAAGCATAGTTCCATGTTTTACGCACACTGCCTCGAAGAGCAGCTAGGAAAATTGTATGCTTGAGAACAGCCTTTTCCTACGTACCCTTCTTTTGTGAACTCCTGTAGAGGGCTCCCCCAGCCCTCTATTCTCCCTGTTGTCAATTGTTTTCTGTTCAGAATCTGACAACCTTTCTCCAACAAGACTGATTAACACTTTGTCTGAAGCAATATATAACATGAACCAAGACTCATCAACAAAGTTACAATGTCATGTAGTAAATTGCTATGCTAATGTAGCAGCAACGTTAATTACTCTTTGTATAATTAAGTGCATTTTAATAAAGGAGAGGCTGATTTTGAAACTCTGGTGGTTTGTGAATCTTTATATTAAAAAATCTAATTTTTCCTAGTACTTTTCCAGAAGGAAGAATAATAATATTGCACCTTTGTTAATTCCAAAAGCGTACTTTTTTCATTTTTAGGGATATTCCTTATAATGTTTCATGATAATTTTAGTTAGACTTACATCCGAAATTCTAAATCAGTCCTGTCAAAAAAAACAGCTCTCCAAAGTACTAACATTTTAAAATTATCTTCTCAAAAAGTTTGAACTCAAGATTGAGAGATTTAATCTATACAACATATAATGGTCACTCATTTTTTCTTAAAATGGTCATTAAAAGCACAAATCTGGACCAGCAGTTTCTCAGGGGGGATTCTACAAAGGGATGAAACTCCAGCCTTGCTCATGCAAGCCCACAAAATCCTGCCTCTGAAATTCTAACTCAGAGGCTCAAAGATTTAGTCAAGTGAGGAATGTTTCACAAAAATAGTATGAAAGGCAAAGAGCATCCTGCAATCCTGTACCTTGATGGAGACTACAGTAATCAGAAGAAAGCAGTGATGAAAAAAGACACCTGTAATACACAAAGTTTGCTACACCTACCTTCCAGAATGGATCCTCATTTGCTAGCATATGGAAAAAGGACAGAGAACAGATTAGTGGGAAATACGTTGCTGAAATGAATGCTAGTTCTCAGCTATAGGAAGGAAAGAATTTTAGTCAAGCTGAGAGGCGGGAGATCAGGGCACTGTCACAATTCAGCACCAGTGAGTATTTTTCAAATTAAAATTTTCAAATTTACACCATAGCAGCCCTGTGCCCAAAGGTCTGATACTAACATGCCACTGTATGAGAAGCACAGAGTCTACTTGAAATTTTCAAGAAGTTTCCTGTGGAACTCTTCTCCACACGTCATCAATCTGGAAGCCTTCCTTAAGGACCTCAGCCTGCTGGGTGACGAACTGCTTGGCCATGCACCAGCAAGGCACTTATACAGTCACTTATCTTGGGAAACAGAAGTGGTGCTACTGACTTACTGTTAAATATATAGGTGTTCAGCTGATTCACAGCCAAAATGCTCAGCCACTTGTGGGAGTGAGCTCTGTGTTTTCATCAGCTCTTTATCATCAATCTGCTTCCACCCAAATCCCTGCGATTTTTTTGACCTTTGGATGAACTGTATTCACAGGCTGATAGGAAAAAGAACCACCAGAGCTCACTGGAAAACAGGCCAAGTTTTCATTAAAAAATATTTGTGAAATTCATTATGCTCTAATCCAAAAATAAAGTTTGAGACATTTTTAATAGCTTTATGAGAAGTGCAGTGGTTTCGTGATTTTTGCTGCTGACTCATAAGAGAACTGATGCGGTGTTTCAGTGACAAGCAGCTGATGGCTTTCCTTCAGATTGACGTGGTGACAGCCAAACTAGAATTTTGTCCTTAATTTCTTCAGCTCCCTCTCTGATCACAGCTGGGAACACAGCTGCTCCAGTGTGCACTCACATGTACCAAGCAGCTTAGAAGCTGTACATGTACAGGTGAAGACATGTACGCAGTACATGTACAGGTGAAGACATGTACGCAGTATGCTCACACATATGTAAAAACAAGAACATAAGAACAAAGGAAACAGCTTCATCTCAGTTAGCCTACAGAGACCAAAATCCTTTGCTAACAGCATCCCATGTTGCTGGTGCCCTGGCTTAGAGTGCAGGAACTGGGCATGCACAGCATAAATTGCTTTTCTCCAGAGGTATCCTTCCAGAGACTAACAGCAGTTTAAGACTTTCCTTAAACTGGAATTTGCATCTTCACCTTTATATTCAACAACCTTAGAAGGATTCTTCCATAAATTTGTCAGCTTTTTCCAACAATTGTCACATCCTTTGGCAATGAGTTCCATAAAATCTGCAGATGTCACTGCACATATGCAAAAACACACACACAGATCCTTCCTTATATGACACTATGATTACTCAGGGGACATAAATGTTATTCAGACAAACAAGGGCTTGGTAATTGAAGAGTCTCTTCTACAAATGATGTATGTCAGGGGATGCGACCTCATTTCAGGTAAGACATTTTCAGATAAATGAATCTTGATTAATTGACATTTCGCTGGAAATTTACAAGAATTGTTCTCTTCTGCATTTCTGGAAATGACAGTTGTTTCCTGTACTTCATAGGGATTTTTTTCATTTGTTTATTTCTCTTTTCAGTTCAGTTTTGATGTAAAGTTTCTGACATTATAAAATATGTCCAATTAAACTGAAGACAAATGTTCTAAAGGAGTGGTTTATTATAGGAGAAGGGGAAATCAGCAGTCCACTATGGGCAGACATCTACACCTCTGTTATTGCAAGCTGTCTGGGGACAGTGACTGACTTCAGATCAGAGCTTACACCTCATCTTGCACAACGGCACCCAGTGCTAACACTGTTGTTCTCTCCAGATGCATGTTTACAAGGGAAAAGCAAGTGCCAGGATAAGGCAAATAATAATGTTGATTTTTCAATAAAACTGAGCCAGGGATAACATTCTTTCAACTTGGACTCACATGAGCATGGGTCCTGCTAAGAGGCATGTCATCATGGTAGCTTACTGTATAATAACCTCTCTTGTCCTCTAAGACCCCAGGCACTAGAGGCATAGGGTAAGTAGGCCAATTGTCTGCATCTAGAACATTACATTTTGGATATAGAGAAGCACCATAGCATTTTAGTTGGTGATCTCATGGAGCAGGAATTCAAGGCAGTGCCAAAAAGGTGGCTCTAAACATGACACTTGACAGGTATACCAAGAAAACCCTGAAAAGATGTCTTAATTGAAGTCTTGATTGAAATTACTACCGTAAATGCTCCAAAATCTGAAATAATAATTGGATCAGAAAAAAATGCTGTCCCTTACCGTTAATGCACCACAGTAAAACTTAAGTTATGAAGGCAAAACAAGGGCAAGGAAATACGAAGATGCTTCCACTGGCTTTCTCTCCTTTTTGACATGCAGCTCAAGCTTCTTTGTCTTTTAAAATCCTATTTGGGCCTCATCTAAAGAATTAAATTGTACTGTGTGCTCTCTTTGTTTCAACTCCCACCTCTCAATACTCTGCATATTGCACATTTCTCCAGGAATTAGCTTCTTCACATAAACTAATTATCATCTCAAATGGTTCCTCTCAGTTGATCATTCTCAAAGATTTTACCATGAAACTTTCAGCATCTGAAGTTCTCCTAAGTACAAGATTGGCAGGCATCTTCAAGGCCATCAAATCTAGTTTAATTGCTCCAGCTCTTAGAGTGAGAAAAACTGTGTGTTTTGGCCACTGTTTTTAAGGCAAATGGTAAGGTAAATTTCTAGCCTTTGAAAGTAGATAGCAGTTTCTTAAAGCTGACAAAAAGAAGCAAATGAAAACTCCAGAATAGCAATTACATTTAGATTCAATTTTCAATACATGTTTCTAAGCATTTGGGGCTGGCAGTACTATCTTCTTGAATCAGTCCTTTCACTGGATGGTGCTTACAGTGCTAGAGACCAGATTTACCATTGATTGCAGAGACTTTGGATCCATTTCTACACAGTTGTGACCTTTAGCTTTATTCTTTATAATTATTATTTCATTTATTTATTTATTTTGCAGGAAAAGCATCTATATTCACTCCACACTAAAAAGTTCAGGGTTCTTACACAAAGTAATACCCTATAGTATCCCAGTAGCAATTCATATGAAATCCTACATGTATTTAAATATTTAATATGTAATTAATATTCAACAATAAATATTTAACATGTAATTAGAATAGTAGTATATTGACTTAAAAATATGCTTACCTCTTGTTGAAAGGAACAAGGGGTTATTCAAAAAATTTGATGCAAGACGTTTCCGCTGGATGGGAAGAAAAAACACAGTATCATAGCATTATTGAAAAGTGCTCTAGTTGTCTCTTACTGTCACATACAAATTATTTCTATGCACTCTCTCATACATAATGAAGTATCCCAAAGCCAGGTTAGTGTTTTAGATTATTCATTGCTAACCCCTAACATGGCCATATAAACGGTTGCCTTATTTACCTCTCTAACAGTTTCCTCATAGAGCAGTTTCATGTACGTTACATTTTATTAACAAGAGAAATGCAAATTGCAAATGTTATTGATTGCGTTTCAGGTTATGTTGCAGAGGCTCAAGGCAACAGCAACAGTAACTCCAAACCTAACAAATAAACAATGTCTATAAAGGAAAAACTGCATAATAAATTCTTGCTGTGAGATGACATCTTTATTTGCAGGTGGTGAAACGGTGATGGACTTCCCAGCTGCAGAAACACATCACTACCTTCTGTGACACTTGCTCACAGTTAGCTGGAATATATTTTGTTTGTAAGTAATGCATTACTGTCCAAGTTAAATATTTCTCTTTCAGAAGTTAACATGTATGTCCTTTAGGAGTGGATAGTTGTTTTCAATTACTGAGGTCACCAAAGAACTTCACATTTGCAAACACAGCCCACTGGAAACATGACTGAGATGTTAACAGAGATGTAATGCAGTCCATCACCAACTTATCAGATTGTAAAAGCTGTTGGTCAATAGCTACTCGGGCTTCATTAACAGTCTACATAACACCTAATTGTTCCTCTCCACCATCCTTGTACAGCAGGACTGCAAACAGTACCATTAGATGTTGTTATAGTCTGCTTGAAGGAAAATTAGAAGGTTTTTGCTAATAAATGTTTTATTCTGTGGTGAGTAAACTGTTCTTTTATACACAGATGCCTGGCAGCCTCTTAATGAATTCTAAATTAATGTTTATTTCTTCAAAATATCCAGCCTGAAACGTAACTCTTTCCAATGCAAAAAAAGAAAAAAAAACACCCAAGCAAACAAAGCCAACACCACCAACAAAACAGCAACACAACAAAGACACAAACCAAGCCAATCAATCAACCAAGAAACAAACAAACAAACAAACAAACCTAGGTGTTGACAGTGGGAAAGCAATGTCTCAAAAAACATTTTTAGGGAAAAAAAAAAAAAGCCGCAAAAATGATAAGCACAACATTCAACTAAAAATTGTGATCACACTTTTGTAATCAAGGAAGTCAACATCACCACTACAGAGGCTGAGCTCCTGCTGTTTTGAGGGGCGTTGGCAAATAGAAAGTCTAATTTATACGCAATTCCAATTTAAACAATCATGAATTAAAGATCATTCAGTAGACTAACCGTAAATTAAACCGCACCAAAACGCCTGAAATGCCACAAAATATCTCAACTCACTGATTAGCGAATCAATCTGAGCAGCTAATTGATCAGAGGAAAACCATCTGCCTCCATTTTACTTAAACAGCATTCCCCCTGGTCAGCATTTAATGATAGCTCCTAATGAGGATACCGCTGATCAGCTATAGGACTCTTTCACAGACATTTTTTTTCCATGCTATCCCTCACTTCAGGATATGCTTTTGAGAATAGATACAAGGAGAAGTACAATCTAAGGGTGTAGCAGGCCTCATCGCCCCTTCTATCCCTCCTCCAAGACAACTGAATTTCTCTTGAACACTGATCAGAATACAATTACAAAACTGCTGCTTCTTAATAAACTTGTTGGGAGAAAAAAGTCTTATGAGAAGACACTACAAATGTAGTGCTAGCAAGCCTACAATTTCTGCTGTGTTATACACCGGATGTATGAACATCAGTATTTGCAATGAAGAGGTGGCTGGAGAAAAACTGAGGAGTTTTGAATAATTCAAATTCCCAGAGATGTTCTGGAGAATAAAAATCTCCAATGTTTTCAAAAAAGAACAGTCAGTTCACTAAGAAGCTTGACTACTACTGATAGGCTTCTTCTTAGTCTTGTGTGTCTGCTGCCTGCCAACAAACACAGAAATCTGAAATTTTGGCATGCCAAAAATTTCACATTGCTGATACCCACATACAAAAAAATCACTTTATTTAGGCTTTAAGAACTTAGAACACAAAAGGATCTTAATTAAATAGAGAGCTGCCTGTGAATCAGTTTTATTTTTATAGGAAGCTCACATAGCAACCCCGAGCTGCGGTGAAAAGTTAAAGGTGGAATTTTAATGTGCTGAATAAATCTGTATTTCTCAGTTCAAAAACAAAATGCAAGTTTGAAAACACTTCCGTTCTCCAGGTATGATCTAAAAGGACCGTCTGTATAGGTAAAGGAGTAATTAGATCCCACAAAAAAATTGGTCCTTTTGGCCTTTACTAAAATCAACTTGAATTCAAGTCTGAAGCAAATGATGTTATGGGGAGAAAATCTGTTGCTTAGCTACTGAGATGAAAATCTGTGTGTTTTTTTTCTTCACATCAATACCCCTTTACAAGTGAATGTGTGGTTCTGTATTCACATCTATGTTTGTAATAAGAAGCACTTTTAAACATTTTATTGACATGAAAACAGTGGCAAAAGAAAAAAAAAAAAAAGAAGTGAATGATCAAGTACCTCTGTTTCCAAGAGTCCACTGTAGGCTGGATTTGCTGTGCTTCTTCTCTTCCTTTCCTGACGTTTGCTCTGAATTTCTGTAGACATAGAAAGAAGCATAAATTGTGTATTTCTCATTCATCAGGGAAAAATTCAAATCTAACTTGTTAAGCAAAACGCTTTTATCCTCAATCCCTTGGGTTTTATGTTCAGTTTCAGTTTCTAAAGTGTTAATTAGGTTGCAGCAGCACTGATACTTGCTGCAGTTCAAGGCCTGACGTTAATAAGTTTTGCCTTGTAAGATTCAGAACATGTCATTTTTTATTTTTCCCTCCTTCACAGTGGACTTGTGCTTCCCTACAAGATTTTTATGATGCTCCCTCAACACACACATTTAGCAATCATCAAGCTTTCAAAATGCTATCAATGTCTGCTATTAACAAAACAGAGTATATATAGCAGTTAAACCTTGAAAGTTATATCAGATGAGAGAACAGAAATCCTTTTAAGTTTTGTTGACATTACTTTTTCTCCAAGGAGGCTAGAAAAAGTAGTCAGAATTGCATGGCTAGACTCAGCTCTAACTAGGGCACTATGACTTATTCATCCAAAATACACAACTTCACAATCCTGAGCAAAATGTTGCTGTGAGCCATACATGGCACTGCACCACTGGAAACAGCAGCACATAGTTGGTCTCACTGAGCTGCAGTCCTGTCTTGAAAGGGAGGAAATACATAAATCTCTCCCACTAAAGGGCAACACCTATTGAAGATGGCACTTACTCAGGACTGCACTTAGTTAAAATCAGTCGTGTGTATGCTTCTGGAAACATGTACAGAAAGGAAGAGTGAATTCCTGACCCACTGAAATCTGCAAGCTTATTGCTGCTTTTATCTGAACTAGGATTTCATTTCTGTCACATGGAATTTCTTCTTCCAGCTCTTTACGTCAGCTCAGAACAGCGAGATTATAAGAGTGTATTTTAAAGCCTACTTTAGTAAAATTCACTAATAAAGAAAGAGCAGATATTAACAAGGAGAACCGGCCAACATCCACTCCATGACATGAAAAGCCAACCGTGTGCTGGGCTGCATCAAAAGAAGCGTGGTCAACAGGTCAAGGGAGATAATTCTGCCCCTCTCCTATGTGCTGGTGAGGCCTCACCAGCACCTACATCCAGATGTTGAGCCCTCAATACAGGAGGGAAGTGGACCTATTAGAGTGTGTCCAGAAGAGGGCCACAAAAAGTATGCAAGGCATGGAACACTTCCCCCACACGGACAGGCTGAGAGAGCTGGGGCTGTTTAGCCTGGAGAAGGGAAGGCTCCAAGGAGACCCCAGAGTGGACTTTCAGTATCTAAAGGGTTGTTGTAGGAAAGAAGAGGACAGATTCTTTAGCAGGGTCTGTTGCAAAAAGACAAGGGAAAATGGTTTCAAAATAAAAGAAGGGAGAGTTAGATTGGATACAAAGAAGAAGTACTTTACAATAAGGGTAGTAAGGCAAGGAACAGGTTTCCCAGAGAGGTGGTGGATGCCTCGTTCTTGGAGACGTGGAAGGTCGGGCTGGATGGGGCTCTGAGCAACCTGATGTAGTTGTAGATGTCCCTGCTCACTGCATAGGTGTTGGAGTAGATGACCTTTAAAGGTCCCTTCCAACTCAAAAGATTCCATGATTCTATGATTCTATGTGCGCAGCTAGCTTGATGCTCCATTTCAAAATGTTTACCAAATGATATCTTATAGCAAAGTTCATACTCTGCACTGAGAGATCCCATTAGGCTATATGTTCCTGTAATCACTTCCATTGTGTTGCTTTGAGCACTTTTCCAAGAAGAGGAACTGGCAGGAACACTAACCCAGCAGCCCATCAAAGCACCAGGAGCACACCCTACAAAAACTCAAGACACCATCTGGTTCTGCAGAAGGTCTGGTCTTTCCTGTAAATATTTGAGGTAAAGAGTTCCATCTGAGAATTTCCACAAAATTCGGAATATTGAATTCTAGCTCTCATTTGCAACCCAACAGTGTGACACAGTCCATCTTTCAGGATGCTTATGATGATTCTTGACATACAGTTCTGGCTTGCAAGCACCTTCCCCATGAGTAAAAAAAGGGCCGAGTATGGTATGAGTATTACTGGTCACATCCTGAACATAGTGTCAGTAGGAATGAGGCCAACAGTCTACATGGATTTTTTATGGCTCTGAGTTCCAGGATATTGATTTGAAACTTCTCATTCCCAAAGGGCTATTGGCTAAGCTGACACTTCTTGGGGTGATGGATGTAGCAGAAGAAAATCATATAGAAAATAAAAACAGAGGAACAACCACTTGCATATTCTGGCTGGGTTTTCTCACTGGCGTGGGAGTATCATCTCTCACACTCGGGTGTCTTTTTCTAGGACAGTTCAAGACAGGTCTGATTCCTAGAATGTCATGGGATAGACATATGTTGCCACGTGCCTCCTGAAACTATGAAGCATTTCATTATAAGAAACATGTGATGCAAGACTGTACAGCAATGTGCAACAAACTCCCTGGTTGCAACCACTGCCAGCATGTTGTTAACATTCCCACCATTATGACACCTGTGAAGAGGAGGCTTTTGTGTAGGTAATGGCTCTGTCCTACCATTAAAGTATTACCAGGCTATGAAGAAATCACCATCCTGAAGCTTCCAAACCCTACATCATGATGGGAATATGATGTCAGCAGCTGCATGAGTGCTACATGTGGATCCACTAATCTGCCACAGAGCTGCGGGAAGAAAGATGGTCTCAGTCTTAGAAAGAGAATGCACTCCAGGTCAAAAGTGCCAGGGATGTAATAGAAGAAGAACTTGTGTGTCTTGATGCTAGTAGAGAGAGAGGAAGTAGGCAACCACTGACTTCGGGCTTTGGTTCCAGCAGTGTGAGCAAGCTGTAGTTTCTGCAGCCAGCTCCAAGCCAGTCAGTGAATCCAGGGGCTGCAGCACCTCAGTATCCGCATGGCAGTGTAGGTAAAAAGCTGGAACAAGGGCTGCCCATACTTACTGCTTCTCAAAGGTTGTCACAGGGATGCAAGATCACTGGTTTGGGAAAAGAAACAAAGGACCCGACATGGCAGAGATTTCCATGTGTCAGAGTGCACAGCTAGGCTGAGTGTCTTCATGAGAAGCCCATGATGGATCTGTAGCTCTCCGCCCTTTTGGGTCCCAGGATTAAGAGAGAATTTATTTGATACATGCTCTCACCAAGGCAACAGAAATATTTGCTGGAGCCTGACCGACACATGTGGTGGTAGAGACCTGGAACGCAGCTTTGGAAGAGGCATCAGTGTGGCGAAGAGATAAAAGCTGGCCGGGGGGGGAAACGTAATCATAGTGGAAATAGAAAGAAATAGAGAGAGACTAATGAACTGAAATGGCACTGGATGTACTCTACCCTATACTGCCACCAGGGAGGAAGGGCACAATGTCAGCACTTCATTTACAGAACTCCTTGTGCATACACCCAGGAACATATCTGTAAGTAATCACACCCCGTTAGACCAGAGGCAAAGAGTAGGATACAATTTTTTGTTGCTTGCTGCTTGCTACTTCTGCTAAAAAGTACTGAGCATGTTTTCTCTGCTATCTCTTTCACAGCAGGGCTTAAAGAAGTAAAACTAAACAATTTTTTTTTAATTTATTAAAACAATCCAATAATATAAATGGAAATATTTCAGCTTTTTTTTTTTTTTCTTTAGCAAGACCTGAAGTAAAGAATTATTTAGAATGTTTTCTTTTTTTTTTTCTATCTAGATTTTAATTTTATTTATTTATTTTAATACAGTGCCAATGCTGAGAAGTATTCTTGGAACTTTCAATGTCACAACCATATGCTGCATCACAGATTTATTCTTTAGTTTGTTAATTTTCAAAAATATAAACCAAACAGAAAGAAAAAAACCTAAGTGGTAATGCATTTGTCAGAGATAAATAAAGTTGAAGACAGCTTTACGTTGGAGGCAAAGTTTCCACAAGCTACTGCCTTCATCATCAAAAGCACTGTATGGTTATTGAATAAGGCCTGTAATGACAATTCCTCTTCCTCTTCAATGCAATCTGTATCCTGCAAAACACTAGAGGAAGGGGATCTGATGATCATTTACTGTTGAGGACTGGCAATCTGCAGAACAGAGTTCTTTTCCCAGCAAGAGGAAAGAACTTCCTCTGGAAGTCAGGTGGAAAGACTGGGCTGGTAGAGAAATCCTTACAAGAAAGGCGTCACAGCTCCTCATCACAAAATCAATGAATATAACAAAGAAAATCAGTAACGTGAGATGATGTTACTGAGTGAATAGGCTTTTAATGACTCAATCCTGACACAGCCTAATTCAAAAAATGTAAAACTGAGGAATACATTACAAGTACTGAGAGAAACAGAACCGCGTAATGACCACAACTTCTTGGTAAATCACAGTGGCTGCTAACCATAAATATGACACAGCACTGAAACAACAACCTTTAGCCTGTGAAAGCTATGAAGGTATTTTTGGGAGCTGTAATCACCAACAATCATGACAAAATACCCTTTCCATAGTAAATAGCTCTTGGTGAGAGCCGTTTATTTCAAGATAGTGGGAATATAAAATTGAATGTATCTGAAAGAATTGATTCTGGAGGATAAATATTCTAGTAGTTAGGTTCAAAATGTGCATCTCTGCACTTACTTTTCTGTACAACAAACAGAGCAGAGCAGTTCTTGTCATTTTGAACATAAGCATTAAATCCATGTGAACAATTTATTAGTTCCAATAAAATCAAAGAGCAAAGAATTATTCAAAACAAAGTTTCCTCTGTTGCAAGCATAATCTCCACTTCAGCATAATTTCAAATGCTGTCCTATTTTCCCTAGACAAAGAAAACAAGAACCAGTCATCATTTGCACTTTTTGGATTAAAAATCTTCTCTCAAAATTGCTGTGGTGCTTTTTAATTTCCATTTCAATCCATTATCATTAAGGCATTAAAAAGGCTGATGGCTTAAAGTTTCTCTAAAATGCTTTCAAATTCTCAGTCACTGGGACATCAAATGATTTTCTAAAACGCAGTTTTAAAGAGGAAAGAGACAGAAAAGAAGCAAAGAAAAAAAGAAAGCTCAGAAAACCTGCCGCATGTATGCAGTAGCCTTTACAATCAACACACTATTTTCTCCAGAATTCACAGCCACTCTTAAAACAAGAGAAGAGAAGAAAAAAATACCTTATTGAAAAAAGCTGTAAGTAAGTTGGACTCTTGAGTCAGCAAGGTATCTAAGAATGTGGCTAACTTAAAAGCACATAAACAGTCATAAGCAGTGTCAATTATCATCAACATTTTTGTTATCAGGATTCACTCTTTCGCTAGACACCAGATCAGCACTCCATATATCAGTGGAATCTCACCAACTTGAACTGGCTGAGCACATAACCAAAATACACCAACCTATAGATTTTTTCTTAACAATAACTCCTCTCTCCATGAGAATGTGCCCATTCCACCAAGAAACCCCCATACCCATTTAACACAACTGGCAAATTTGCTGAACAGGTTTTTTTGCTCACATCTATAACCTGATTCGGAAAGACAAAGGTAGAGCAAAGAATGGTACAAATCTGCTAACTTCTGCAAGGCTTTTTTGGAAGGATAGAAAAAAAAAGCAAACAGTAGGTGACGGCTGCTTTTAAATTATATGCAATATCTGTCTGAACACATATTTAGAGGCATAGGAAGGTGTACTAGCAACTCTCACACAAGAGCAAGATCAGGCTCATGAAAATCTGCTTACTTTGGCTAAATAAAAAGGCGTGGGAAAAGGAAGACCTTGGGAGAGGTAGTTTTTAAATTCACCTAAAAACACGTAAAGCAAAAGCAGAATTTCATTACTGTCATAGACATTATTCTGTGGAACTCTAAAGATGACGGATAGTTAATTCAAGAAATGACAGCATGCCCTTCTCAACAAGGAAACAAGGGAGCACATGCTCACTACAGAAGACTGGGATAAACCCTCGATCTTTGAATGATCCTTGCTGACACTTCAGGCAGACCAGCATTGGCCAGAGCCTAGCTTCACTATCTTCCTTGGCAAGTAATTGCCTTTAAAAGACCACGCTGACAGAGTGAGCCCCAACACCAGGTTATGCCAGGCATGCTGCTGCTGGCTGCAGAGCTAGTTGTTACACCTGTGTGATGAGATGGGAGGCAGAGCAAAACACAGACACCCATTAGTTTGAGGCTGAAAACCACTACTGTGCACAAGCAACATTCTACCTGATCTTTAATTGCCCTTCTGAGGACCAAACCACCCATTTCTTTCAGCTGTGGAGCAGTAGAGAGAAAAAATATCACTCAAAATCTGAAATGTGAAACAACACATGCCATCTTACCTTCCAAATGTTCTGTGGTAACCAGTCCTAATGCTACCATGAAGGCAATTTTCTATGGAAAAAATAAACGGGGGTTAGATTTGCTACTGTGACAATCCTGGTAGAAGTAAGTAATCTAGCACTGATAGAATAAGACTAATAAAGGTCTTTTGGAAATGTCTATTACCTAAATGCATATGAAAAAGCAATTCAAGATTTGCTTTAGATATGCCTGGTCAATCATGCCCTACTTGTAGAACTGTAAGTAGTGTTCAGAGACATAAGGCCAGTGCTGTATGAGTGCTAATGCTGCACAAAATCCAGTCAATTCAATTTCATATTGCTAGTTGCATTGTTACTCCATACTTTTGAGAAGTGATTGTGTATTATTGTCACTGTCTGGACCTGACACTGTTTTTACTGGATATGAGCAAGCTGTACTAAGAAAATATGACACACACTTTCATTGAACTTTACAATACTGTACATCTGTTAATAATCAAGAAGACATTAGAAGCACATTTTCCCAACAGAGACTCTCCTAATTAGTCTTTCCTAATTGCAGCCTTTCAGTACCTAAAGAGAGCCTACAAACAGGAGGGAATCAACTCTTTGAAAGGGTAGATAACAACAGGACAAGGGGAAATGGTTTTAAGTTGAGGGAGGGAAGATTTAGGCTGGATGTCAGGGGGAAATTGTTTACAGAGAGAGTGGTGAGGTGCTGGAACAGGCTGCCCAGAGAGGCTGTGGATGCCCCGTCCCTGGAGGTGTTCAAGGCCAGGTTGGATGGGGCCCTGGGCAGCCTGGTCTGCTATTAAATGGGGAGGTTGGTGGCCCTGCATGTGGCAGGGGGGTTGGAGATTCATTATCCTTAAGGTCCCTTCCAACCCTGGCCATTCTGTGATTCTGTGAACAGAACAGTTCAGAAATTGCTCTTCCCAAGTTACAGAAAAAATATAACATGAATGAAATACAAATACACACTCTGATACCTTCCTCCACCGGGGAGTGAACAAATACCTTGCACTAAGAGTGATGAACTCACTTGACAGCAGGGAATGTGATCTAAAATTCTTGTACACTGTATACAAACAAAGCACATTTGAATACCAACAAAATTTCAAAACATAGCTGTGCAGTAATAGGGCAAGTAGTAGAACAGACTTACATTTTGTGTCACTGATTTCTCATTGGAAAATTCTTCCTGGCAGAAAAAGTTCTGCTGAATCAGAAATTCCTTTTTGTCCATTCTGTTTTCTTAAATGGAAAACTGAAATTCTGCTATGTAGTTCCTAGCCCAAACTGAATTGAACTCTTGGTTTCTAGTCAGAGCCAGGATAACACAAAGCCTCCTTTCTGTGCCGTTCTGAACAGCCTTGTTGGGCATGTTACACAGGTGGTATTTTCACCAGGTGCTATTCCACAGCAGAGATTATCTAACTTGAAAACCCAAGCTATTAGGAGCACAGGCAAGCAAAACTCACAATCCAACTATGGCAAAGAACTCAAAGATCATTGGAGGATTTAATCATCATGCTCACCCAAAATAAAATGAATAGATTTGGGTTGAAGTAACTGGAATGTTTAAGTAGCACAAGGTCAAAACGTTCTGTTTCAACCAGAGAAATGTCAGAAAAACACATTTCAACAGTCCCAAGTCAAAATGAATTTGACCATCTTGTTGATCAAAAGTACAATGATTCAACTTTCAACCCAGGATAAAATCAACTAGTAAGTCAGTTTCATGCATCAGTATAAGGAAGCACATTTTCATTTTGGAAATGAAGGATCTAGCTAAGGAGTGGGTTCTTCAAAAATTAGAGGGTGAGGATTGGATATCCATACTGTTCTTCCATCTATGAAAATATCTACATTCAGGAGATGAACTAACAAAGCCATAAGAGGAATACTGTCATTCCGTGATCCCCTAGTATGTAATTCCTCCTGTAGATTAAATAAATGACAATTTAAAACCCACTCACCAGCAATTTAGATGGGACGCATGCTATATTTCTGCCTTCCATAACTCTGGTAATAACAAGCACATGTACATATGCATGTCACACCCTGATTTCATTAATGCTCACTCCTTACATGTCTAAAACACCAGCTACACACAGTGGGGATTCCACATGTGAAGGGAAAGATGAATATTTGATCTGAGACCCACTGTGAAGATCTGAGAAGAAAATTTGTCAATTGAGTAGAATTACAAGCTTCTCTTCACCCCTACTGAAAGTAACTTTGTGGCAGGATACGTCAGCACTCTGAACAGAAGTGATAGCAACGTTTCAATACAGAATTAGAGTGTTGAAATGGTTAATGTGAAATTGTATTTTCCCAATGGAGCATAGATTGTCTATCTTACCCAAAGATCAGGCTGTAAAGGGTGCATGTATTTTCTGACATCTAAACTAACATTATTTGTGTACAGGAACGCTTGCTAAACAATTTTCTCTCTTTATACTAACAATATTCAAATATATATCTAATTAAAAGTAATGACAGCATACTTGCTTAACATACGAAGAGCTTTCATAAATGGACTTGATAATTATCTCACTATTAAAGAAAGGAAGCATTAGCTTTTATAGTTGTTTGAAAGATGGATTCTTTTTAAAGGATTCAGTAAAAGCTGCATTCATTTTAACAAGCATATTATATTAACAGCATCTTTAAAATGGGTTTTGCTATTTCATGCTCATGCAGCCCATTGGATTAAATTCAAAATACTGCTTCCACTGCAGAGCTTTGCTTTCAAGTACCACAGAGTAATGGCAATGCAATGCTGTTTTTTCTCTGCGCAGGAATCCACTAAACTGATCCTTTAGTTTTTTGAGCTTTTTAATCACTAGCATTTAGTCCAAAATAGCAATGAGTATCTCTTTGTCCTTGTTAGATAGAATTAAAATCACTGTTAGCTAAACAACCAGCATTTCTGGCATTAATTTTTCTTTTAAATAAAAAAATGCTAGAAATGTACCAGAAATGTAACATTTTACTGACACACAAAATGAAATGCAAAATGTTTTATGCAATTCTGACAGTCTCTTTCTGTACTAAACTCAGTAAAACAACAACAACCACACACTAATGACACAAAAATAACAGAAGAACTGCTCCCTAGCATAATTCCTTAATTTCTAGCTGGGGTCGGCTTCCCAGCAGAAAGTTCAAGGCAAGAACAAAAGACAGCCAGCAACCTCGATCTCTTGTTTGTTTAAGAACTAGGAATTGCAGATGGAACTCCTGGCTACTGGAAGGTCTGGTTATTTCTGGATTATTTATTTTGAATTTTAAATGCAATTTGTTCAATCCCAGTCTCTCACAACGGACATTTATATTGAGACATACTTGAGTTCCTGCCTCAGTTTTGTGCTTTGAAGACAAAGGTGTGGAGAGAAATGCCTAGATTGCCTGTTTTCCTTAAGAAAAGATCACAGTATCTTTGTTACTCTTTGTCTCAAATTTAATCATCTGTTAAACAGCCATGACTGCTTTTGGAAATATGCAGTATTATGTCTTTTCACAAAGCAAAACAAAGATTTTTACAAAACCATTTCATTTGATAATTGCGTGTTCTATTTATGTCATTACATGTGTTTACACTAATTATGTTGTTAGCTCTAATTACACTAATTGCTCAAATACATTATAATCAACTAAAGTTTACTTTCAAAGAACAAAAGAAAGTAACTCTAGACCCACATATTTATGACTCTAAAACAAATCTAAGAAAAGAAAAAAAAAAAAAAGTCATACTTAAGGGCATGGCTTCAGCATCCTACCAGAAAAACGTGCTTGCTGAGGCCTCCTGTATGTACTATAGGAACAGTGATCTTGGTTACAAAAAGGCAACCAAAGAGACCATTGACACCAGGACATACTTGTTAGCAATTTAACAGAAAGCTCATTACATTTAAAAATGCTATATACCAACATGTGTCAGGTGGTCTCTTCCTGCATCCCTCTGGAAGATGTTTGCTCAATATACTTTTGCAGGGGATAAGTTATGGGCAAAGAAAAGAAGTTTTTCCTAGAATTCTTTTTCAAGCAGAATCTACCCGCCAGGTAGATTCTGCTTGAATTTTTCTGCCCACCAGGTGCTGCACAATAATAATAATTTGGAAACTCTTCTCTGAAGAAAATAGATTCATGTGGTCCCATCATTCAGTGACAATGAAGATTCATACAAAAAGTCAGATTTTAAGCTGGGGAGATTTCGTAAGTGTTGTTCAGCAGGGTTTCTGCATAAAGCTGTGACATTCCAGGCCAGAAGTCACAATATTTATTCCTTAACAGTCTTTTAAGTATACAAGCCTCTCAAAATGGCAAAACGAACTACCACTCACACTGCTCACATAACATTAAAAACTTATATTGCAATAGTCCTCTTTATACCTACAGCTCCAAGGATGCCTTCTTGCTATAAGCATATTAGACTAACAAGGCTAGGATGTCATGTGATCTGAGCATTTCAACATCAGAAGTAAATTCAGCTTGTATAATTTCTCAAATTGCCTCAGAAGTACACACAATCTAATTTGAATATATCTAGTAAAACCAAAATGCCTGTTAAACATAGTCTCCATTTCTACATCTTCTGATTTGTATTTTTCATTTACATAGTAAATATAGTTCATGAAAGAGTTTTAACCCTATAGCCTGCTTTTTATTCAGAGAGAGAACATGCACGTCGGATGGCACGCACGCAGCAAATGCAAGGAAATATGTTGCTACGTGCAATCTAGAGATTGTAAAATTCATTACAAAGAGAACAAACACATAAAAGATCAGCTTACAGAAAGAAATATTAATTTGATCTCATATACAGCCTGTAAAGCTGGTGTTAGTTATTTGCTAGCATAAAATAAAATATTATCAGCTTGTATATGTCTTTTAGAAGAAATACAAATATATTCATACAAGGTGCCTGGATCATCGTAAGACCTACAATTCTTACATTCTGTGACAATGGAAGATTTGAATGATGCAAACCAAAATTGTCAGAGCAGCTCTCTTGGGCAGGAATCACTCAATTTGCAATGAATCACAAGCACAAATACAGCAATTATATATGCATGCAGAAAAGTGTTTAGAAATGGTCTCTAGAATTCAACCATACTGTAACACATTTATTACAATAATAATAATAAAATAAATCACCTCTGGATTTTCCTCCTTTTTCTTTTTGGTAGCAGGGGGTCCCTGAGCTGACTCTTCAGGAGGTTTCTTTGTCTCCACTTTACTTTCTGTCTGGGTTTGGACTTGAGGCTGAATAATGATAACCTAAAAGACAACATACAAATAAAAGAACAGAATTCACTACACGAAACTGGAATTTTCTGCCTAAAACTTGATTCTTCACGGAATGGTTAGTTGATACCTATGTATATAATACATGCAAATCACAAGTCAATAGTATCAAGAACTAGATACCTAGCTTAGGTCTCTAAATCTCTACTAAACTTTCCACAAATTAATCTTTATAGATGCATCATAAACTAGCAACAGCCTAAGGGAGCCATTTGACATGAACATCTCTGCAAATCAGGACACTGTATTCAGAGGGCTACTGAAGATGCTTTAGTGGCCTAAATTTACTATCCAGGTTGTCAGTGATTCTAAATTGTTTCCTTTAATTCACTTCACATACACATAGAAGAGATGGAACTACTACACATTCAAAGTAATAGCCTGACCTCAGTCATCTCAGTGTTACTTCAGAGTAAGTACACATGGAGTGGAGGGAAGGTGCTCCTCAGTAATTCTGTTGTAACTGAGATCAGAGTTGAGTCCTTAGTATTTATGGATTATGAGTGGTGGACATCCAGTTTTGCATAAACAAAGTAAAATATACTTTTAAATTAGAATTAATTGAGTTTTAGAACCTTTGCTATAGGAATTACTACACAGATTTCTTGTGCATGCATCTACTACTGTCTGATTTACTACATAAAGATTCACAGTTACAAATAACATTACCTCACAAGGCATTAAATTAAAAGGAAAGAAAGACAATTTTTGATGCCAGAACTACACATGTGACTTTACACCCATAATCAAAGCTTCATAGAGGAGTATAGAAGTTTCCCAAGGTCACCTTCTTGATGAAAGCTATTGGATTTCAACATGGACTCTCCTCCATCTAATTGCTAACCTTCAACCAATTTATTTAACTGTCATATATGAGTACTTGATTTCCACTCAGTTACTCTAAAAGACTCAATAGCATGAAAAGGTATTTTTTTTTAACCAGTAGCTAGTTTGAGAAAGAAAAACAAATAATTTTAGAGAAGTATGGAAGAGATGCTTAGTTTTATTTATTCACAAACCATACTGCATCCTGTATTCTTTGTTAGTTCTCTATGAGAACCTGTGCTGCCAATAATATCCAGAGCAGCAGGATCCTAGCAGCAAATTACAATGAATGTCTGCTGGTTATATTGGCAGACTTTATTGAATCTACTTCTGGGACACGAGTGGTGAAGTTCTTGTATTTCAAAGCTGAAAAACTGTACAAACAGGAAACAATAAATTTATAACTTGATTTTTTCCTACTGATCTGTTGATCAGTTTTGAAAGTCTGATCTCTCATTTCATTCGGCTTGCCCCTGGAAAAGTAGAAGGGAATGCTTGATTATTTGATACACTCCCCTGGGACCAGTTGATATAACTGATATCACCATATAATTGAAGAAGGAGTCCATAGGACATTTGAACCTGCACAGAAATCAGAAATATTAATAAGAAATGGTTTAAGAAAAGGGAAGATCATAATGTCAAGTTACATACTGATGCATTTTAATCCCACTAAAAACAAGCTATTTACACTGATAAATGTTTACTGGCATCCATGTGTCCTGCTAAGGATTTTCTCATTGCTTTCTGAATATTTCCTTTCTCAGAAACCACTGGCACTATTCCATACAGAGCTGTGCAGGACGAGGGGGACAGGCACTTACTGGAAAGAGTCCAATTACAGGCTATCAATAAACTCAAGCAGTTCCGTGAGGAAAGGCTGAAACAGCGGGCCTTGTCAGCCTGGAGAAGAGGACGCTTCAGGGGATCTATTCAACATGTACAAATCCATGAAGAGAAGGCAGACAGAAGAAGGAAGTGGGCTCTTCTCAATGGTGCCCAGTGCCAGAATCAGAGCCAATGGGCACAAATTGGAGCAGAGGAGGTTCACTCTGAATACCAGGAAGCAATTCTCTGCTGTGCAGGTGTCACAGCATTGGCACAGGTTGCCCAGAGGTTGTGAAGTCTCCTCAGAAATCTCCAGAAGCCACGTGGATGTGGTCCTGAGCACACTGCTCACGGTGTCCCAGCTTGAGCTGGGATGCAGCAGAAATCCCTTCCCACCTCAATGATTCTGTGAACATCCTGCCCACATCTGCATCATAATTCCCTTGTTTGGCAACTCGAAGGCAGCAAGAAACTGAACCTACCTTGCTATCGGCGCTGATGAGGAGTGGCTGCACTTTGATGCTGTCATTGACCACAGAGACAGTAGCGCTGGTGCTGATAGGGGCTGCATTGCTGGGGGAGGTGGAGATGATGGCGTAGGCCACACCGGCACTGCTCAGAGGCGATGAGAGAGGGGTAGGATCGGTGACGCTCTGTGCCTGGCTGTTAGGCGTCTCTACATGGCTGACGGTGTTGTTGGCAGTGGGGAGGGCAGGGCTGGGATTTTTGATGCTGACGACGGTCGCCTTTTGGAAGGTTGGAGGCTGCTTGGATGGTTGGTCTCTGCATGGGGAAATAGGGAGGCTGTCTGGAATCAGGGTCTTTGGCCTAACCTGAAAAAAAAATTAGATGTTATTGAGCATAATCCAACATATGGGATAAACTCTGCCCATAGACTAAAATTGTGTTAGCCATGCAACAAGAGCGTCTACAAAAATGTAGCACTGCAACTCCAGGTTGACAGCTATTCATTTGCCTGTAGATGTATTCCCTCCACTCCTCAACTGAGCCACTGTGTAGTCCCTAACTTGTTGCAATGCTGAACAAGAAGGGAGAAAAAAGTCAGTCCCACCCTTTTATTAGCACACATCCATACAAGTTACTTGAGCCACATTTGGTTCTCAGTAAGGATGTTCCATCCAAAGCAGAAAGGGAGAAAAAAAAATGCCCACAACTGCTGGACTTAATGTTTTGTTGCTGTAAGTAAAGAGTTGATTCACTGTTGTGGGTGAGCACAGAAGGCACTTCCACGGATGGAGGGGAAGCCATTTGCCAGTGTTTGTGCAGGCTGCACCTTTACATGGAACAATGAATGATAGCTGAAAACAATAGTTTTCAGCTAATGTGATGTGTTTCCAGTGGAGTAATTAATGTCAGCCTGTCAACAGGGCTCTGACTGAACAACGTGGTAACTACAGTTCTAGAATTGAAAATAAATAATTTAAACTGCTTCACATGAAGTTAACTTCACTCCTGGCTTATTCGTTAACATGGCCACATAAAGCAGCTGGCTCCTTGTGTGCTTATTTCATCCTGTCACTTCTCGCACCCTCCATACTGTGAAACAAAATGACAAGCTGCAGCAGACAGGCACTGGAAACAGCTGCCTGCGCCCTTCCAGTTCTGCTGCATCCATCCTCCAGCCTTAGTACACCACTGAATAAAAAGACAGGGATGTACTGATGTAGGGAAAATCACCTCTCAGGGCCGGCCATCAGCCTCAGTCAAGGAGGAGCCATACCCATATCTCAAGAAGAATACTTGCGACATATGTATTTCAGCTCTTTGTGTTTCAGTAGCTTAGCCCTCAGTTACCACTTGGTCCTAAATTCAATGAACAGTACAAATATGCATCAGAATTACAGTCCATCTTAGGGGTGTATGAACTACAAGCAATTAAGGCAAATGGAAAGTGAAAAAGTAAGTCAAGCCAGGCTGGAGGCCATGCCCAAGGTGTGGCAACAGATAAGCAACAAAGCTGGAAGCTGGAAGCCAGGGTGTTCACTCACAGCTCTGGATTGACACTGAAAGGACTTTCAGATGCAAAATGTCTCAAAACTACACTAAACTAGGACAAACCACACTCAAGATATTCTGATAAGAACCCAATTTTTTTTTTTTTTTTTTGCTATTTTTCCTCTATTCAGTGAGTTCAGATTCACACATTTAACATAGGGATTACTTCATTTACTTAGTTAAGATACCAGACAAATATCTTGTCCAAGATATGTTAGACAGGAGTTTATATTTAACTTCATAATGACAACTTGGTAATGATCTAATTTTCAAAAGCAATGCCCAGAGGTTTGGTTTAAAACCATCCTCACTCAGGCATTTCACAAAACTAATGCTTCTTACATGAAAAACCGCCCAGTGCAATCGCAGCATGAAGCAGAGACAGACACTTAATGCACCTTGTTCATGTCTGGATCAGTCAATTACACAAGCAGATATTGTAATATCTATTTTTACACTTTCATAATAATACCATTTTCCCTCCTATACCTTATGTAAGTCTCTGATATGTAAGCCTTTAACAAGCTGTTCAAGCCCATGTGCTCAGAGACACGTTCACAGAAATAGTGCCATTATACAGAAGAAGTCTGAGACGCTTGGCAAAATACAGTTAAAATGCATTCTCTCAGCCAAAAAAAAAAATCGAAATTTAATTCTAAGCTGTCTGGCAAACTTCTAAATGTTTCTATTTCTTCTTCAATGTTTTTTAATTGTAAATTAATGCAACACCAGTTACCAGCAGAAATATTGCAAGCACACAAACAGATAAGCTCACATACACAGAGGGTGAGAGAGAGAAAATAAATTGTAGCTCTCAGATCAAAGACTCGATGTAACAGTCCCTGAGAAATAATCAAGTCTGATAACAAATCGTCTCAGTAGTTTTTTTAGCCAAAAACTGTCAGGCAGTCTATATAGATCTACTGTTATCTGTCACTGTCACTTGCATGTTTACATTTAATCAAAAGTCTACTGAAAATTAAGTTCCTATATATACTCTAACTCTATAGCTATCTTTTCTACACCATTACCTATATATATATTGATGAGTGTAATACTTCAACAGATTTTACACAGGCTTTTTATGCAATTATGCAAATTCTGCAAGTTGTGGATGTCTGCATATGACTTTCCTATATAATAAGATCTTCCTGCCCACTTATGCAGACTTCATATTTCAAAGTAACTTATTCCCTGAAAAGGTCTGTGTATTGATGTATCCAATACAATTTCTCAGTGGTACAGCACAAGAATCCAAGCTACTCTATGAGACTATGAAGAAGATAAGCTGGGCATTTTCTGCCACCTTGTGATACAAAGAAGGTATAGCGCTCTTCCTATTCCAAGGCTCCGCAAATTCTCTGACAAATTCATAGTTGTGAAAGCACACTTATTACACAGCAATTAAGAGTTGATAACGGGAAAGTTTAAGGTGCTCCTAGCACAAATTAAAGCAAAAATAAGTTAAAGTTTAAACAGTATTTCTTTCCACAGCCCACAGACATGGATCCAAAAAAAGAAAACATGCGTAGAAACCCCTTCCTATCCACAGTGCTCTAACACCTATGAATCGTAGCACTGAGTGTTAAGTGTTCAGTAGTGCTAAGGGGAAGATCTCTAACAGAGTTTCACATTACCTGCTACAGTAATAAGAATAAACTGTGTCAATTGGGAAGAAAAAAGATAAAGAGTGAGCTAACAGATTCCTTCCCTGCACTGCAAAGCAGTCATCTAGGAGTCACCAAGGAACAGGAGAAAATATAGGAGCAGAGTATGGACTGTCTTTTACATACAAGATGATGAAAATCCTCTTCCACTGCAAGTAGCACAGGTTGCATGGTACCAGCCCCCACCAGAAGTCATGGCAAATAAAAGGGGCCTAAGTTTGGAAGAGGAGAAGGGAAGAGGAAGAGTAACAGACAGCATGTGTGTCACAAAGAGAAACTGCAACTGTTTCTCCTGTAGCTCAACACTTCCTCTCCTCAAATATCTTTCATTTAACTTCTGACAGCTGTCAAAACAGAATGTGATACTACCAGGGCTATAAATGTAGTAGAGGAAGAGCTGATGCTTGAATACAGTGATTTCACAATGTCACGTTGTTCTCAAGTTTGCTCAATAGCCTCGATAACAACAACATTTTATTTTAGGCAGCATTATTCAGACAACCATGGTATTTCTCAAGTAACCTGCAAGAGAAGATATTTCCAGACCTGGGAATTCATTAGATGGCTTTTCAGACCAGCAAAAAACAGGGAGCCAGATCCAGTGAGAGATGCAGAGTGCTCTTTTGTTCAGCAACCTCTAATTTCATGTATTTTAAAGAGTTTGAGATCAGAAGGGAATCAGCTCTTGTGACTAGCATGCCTTCTTGAGCATCCCATATCATTAAACTCCATCTAGATGCCCCTATGTGAAGCCAAAGGCTTCCATTACACTGAAACATCATTCCAGTTCTCAAGTGCAGAAATTGCTGCATACCACAGAGGTGCACGTATGGCTAAGTGGCTGCAGTGGTAGAGCCTGATATGCGTCACCACTGACAGAATCAACTGTGATTACGGGCAATCTATGTCCTATCAGGTAAACCACTCCTGTGCTGTAGTAAAGAAAAAGGTAAAAAAGAAAAACCCTTACAAAACAAGTCCTCAAGACCCAACCCAAGCAAGTATGGGGGAGATGAGAATGAAAACACAATTATTCCCATCTCTGTGGGCAATGATATGTAGTCCTTTAGGATGGGACTTAATGAGAATTGTTATCTCTGTGCAGATCTGCAGGTTCTCTGAAAACTCTGGCAAATACATGGTCTTCGTGGCCCAGTGAGAAAGGAAAGATATCAAGAGAACTTCAATTACAAAAACCAAAAGAGATCATCATGATCCTCCAAGTCACAAAATGGCCATACAATTTATCCCAGAAACTGAAGTTTGATTTTAACAGAAAATATGAAGGACTTCTTAATGATGAATTTATCATCAGCCCCAAAAACTTCTAATATTTTATCATGCTTGCAAATGGCATTTTATTGCAAGGTTGAATTTTGCCTAAGTTCAGCCTCCAATCCTGGATGTTGCTATAGCTTTGTCAGCAGCACTGAAAAGCCCTCCCCCTTCCCAGTACTAGATATAAGCTGGATCGTGCTCAGCATCAATCAGCCCTTCATACTGGCAGGGGCGATATGTATGAGAGCAAATTTTTCAGCTCAACGCAATATCACATTGCCTTTGAGAGAAAGACCATTATTCACACTTTATTTTCACTTCACCCTTGTACTCGGAGCTTAAAAACAAAAACTCAAAATGTATTTGGCACAATTCATATGTCACAGAGGCAAAGTGCTGGGAGCAGCAGACAGAGCTTTCATTCTTGAAAAGCTTTAGAGGATCACACAGAAAACATTAGCTATGGCTGATAAAATGATTGCAATATGGGGTAATTATAACCTTCACCAGAATGAACAGATGCACAGTGACTTCAGTAAAGCTGTATCTATTTATGTCAGCTGAGGACTGACTTTCTCCATCTTTTTTTTAAATCAATAAAAATTGGGCAGAAAAACAGGTTCTTCATAACTTCACAGTAATGACATACCCTAACATCCAGCAGACCCAAATAAAAGCATTTCTACTTTTATTGATTTTTAGTATCTTTCTTGATTAGCTTCTGTTGTCGTCAGATTGGTCTGATCACAGTCAAAATAAACACAGAGTATTTTCTTGCCACAATGGCAAGATTCAAAAACACAAGTGACTGCGGATCCACATGGACTTTTCTTCCTTCCCATTGATGGAGCCTCACAAAAAAAAAAGTTTTA